ATAAAGCTGCAGAGTTTCTTTAACAACAGATTGTTATTATACAAAAGAAGTACATTAAGCAATTTAAATATAGAACATAGTTTGAAAGATCTTAAAACACACAGCAAACGACAATCTTTCTATTTGTCAACAGAGAATCACAGAATTGTTATGGTGTAGTAACACTAGCTGTTACAGAGATTCAAGTACAGAGAAATTACCCCTCTTTATCAAATCTCCCCAGTTTCTCCCCAGTTCTTTCCTGTGAACTGCAAAGGAATCTAACCGAATACTCACTAACCTAGAGCGTGAGACTTTCTCAGCTTTTAATAGCCTGCAGATTTCTAACTATACACTCCTGGTTCGGAAATTTCATATACTGAAGTTTTTTACTGAGATACAAATCACATCAAGTGCTCTGCCTTTATCAATCCTTTCGTTACTTCTTCAAAAAACTCGATCAAGTTAGTCAGACACAATTTCCCACACACAAAGCCATGCTGACTATCCCTAATCAGTCCTTGTCTTTCCAAATATCTGTAACTACAGTTCCTCAGGATTCCCTCCAAAAATTTGCCCACCACTAATGCCAGGCTCACCAGTCTATATTTCCCTGACATTTCCTTACCACATTTCTTAAATAGTGGCACAACATAAGCTAAGCTCTAGGCTTCCGGCACCTCACCTGTGGCTATCAATGACATAAATATCTCAGAAGGGGGCCCAGCAATCACTTCCCTCAGAGTTCGAGGGTACATGTAATCAGGTCCTGGGAATTTATCCACCTTTATGCGTTCTAAGATGTCCAACACCTCCTCCTCTGTAATACGGACATTTTTCAAGGTGTTGCTATTTATTTCCCATGATCTATATCTTCCATATCCTTATCCACAGGAATCACTGTTGCAACATGCTCGTTCAGTACCTCACCCAGTTCCTGCGGTTCCACAAGTAGGTGACATTGCTGATCTTTAAGGGGCCTTATTCTCTCCCTAGTTATCTTAATGTATTTGTAGAATCTTTTTGGATTCTTCTTAACCCTATTTGCCAAAGCTATCTCATGTGCCCTTTTTGCCCTCCTGATTTCCATCTCAAGTCTACTCCTACTGCCTTTATACTTTTCTAGGGATTCACTCCATCCCTGCTGTCTACGTCTGATATATGCTTCCTTCTTATTCTTGACCAAAATCTCAATTTCTCTAGTCATCCAGCATTCCCTACACTATCAGCCTTGCCCTTCACCCTAACAGGAACATACTGTCTCTGGACTCTCGTTATTTCATTTTTGAATTCTTCCAGCCGTCCCTTTACCTGCAAACATCCGTCCCCCAGTCAACTTTTGAAAGTTTTTGCCTTCTTCCAATTTTAGAACTTAAACCTTTATATCTGGTCTGCCCTTTTTCATCACTATTTTAAAACTAATAGAATTATGGTCACTGGCCCCAAACTGCTCCCCCACTGAACCTCAGACACCTGCCCTGTCTTATTTCCTAAGAGTAGGTCAAGTTTTGCACCTTCTTTAGTAGTGACATGCACATACTGAATCAGAAAAATTTCTTGTGCACACTTAACAAATTCCTCTCTATCCAAGCCCTTAACACTATGATAGTCCCAATCTATGTTTGGAAAATTAAAATCCCCTACTATAACCACCTTATTATTCTTACAGATAACTAAGATCTCCTTACAAATTTATTTCTCAATTTCCCACTGATTACTGGGGGAGGGGGGAAGAGGGGTCTATAGTACAATCCTAATAAGGTGATCATCCCTTTCTTATTTCTCAGTTCCACCCAAATAACTTACCTGAACACATTCCCACGAATATCCTCCCTGAGTATAGTAGTAATATTATCCTTAATCAAAAATGCCACTTCCCCTTCTCTCTTGTTCTCCTTTCTATCCTTCCTATAGCATCTATACCCTGGAACATTAATTTGCCAGTACTGACCATCCCTGAGCCATGTCTCTGTAATTGTTATGATATCCAAGTCCCATGTTCTGAATCATGCCCTAAGTTCATCTGCCTTACCTGTTAGGCCTCTTGCATTGAAATAAATGCAGTTTAATTTATCAATTCTCCGCTTTGTTCCTTCCTGCCCTGATTGTTGGACTTACTCCTTCTCCCAACTGTATCTATGTCAGACTGCTCTCTTTCGTCAGTATCTCCCTGGGTCCCCCCCACCAAAATTGTTTAAATTCTCTCTAGCAGCTCTAGCAAATCTCTCTGCCAGTTAAAATAGTCCCCTTCCAATTCAGGTGCAATCCATCCTTCTTATACAGGTCACTTCTACCCTAGAGGAGATTCCAATATTCCAAAAATATGAATCCTTCTCCCCGCACCAGCTCCTCAACCACGCATTCATCTGCTCGATCCTCCTATTCCTACCCTTACTAGCATGTGGCATCAAGAGTAATCCAGATATTACTACCCTCAAGGATCTTTTTAAATTCCTGCCTAACTTCCTATATTCCCTCCTCAGAATCTCGTCCTTATCTCTTCTGATGTCATTAGTTCCAATGTGTACAATGACCTCCTGCTGGTTCCTCTCGACTTTGAGAAGATTCTGCACCCTCTCCGAGATATCCTTGATCCTGGCTCCAGGGAGGCAACACACATTCTGATGTCTCATTGTCGGCTGCAAAAACGTCTGTCTGTGCCTCTGACTAGAGACTCCCCTATAACAATTGATCGCTTGGAACTTGGCATAACCCTCGGTTACATTAGAACCAGTCTTGTCTATATGGACGTCAATAAGGCGTTCGACAAGGTTTCTCATGGTAGGCTGGTTAGCAAGGTTAGATCACACGGAATACAGGGAGAACTAGCTGTTTGGATACTGAACTGGCTCGAAGGTAGAAGGCAGAAGGTGGTGGCGGTGGGTCACTTTCAGACTGGAGGCCTGTGACCAGTCGTGTACCACAAGGATCAATGCTGGATCCACTGCTTTTTGTCATTTATATAAATGATTTGGATGTGAACGTAGGAGGTATGTTAAGTTTGCAGATGACACTGAAACTGGAGGTGTAGTGGACAGCGAAGAAGGTTACCTCAGAATACAACAGGATCTTGATTAGATGGGCCAGTGGGCCGAGGAGTGACAGATGGAGTTTAATTTAGGTAAATTTGAGGTTTTGGAAAGGTAAATCAGGGCAGGACTTATACACTTAATGGTAAGGTCCTGGGGAGTGTTGCTGAACAAAGAGACCTTAGTGTGCAGGTTCATAGTTCCTTGAAAATCAAGTCACAGGTAGATAGGGTAGTGAGGAAGGCATTTGGTATGCTTGCATTTATTGGTCAGTGCATTAAGTGTAGGAATTGGGAGGTCATGTTGCAACTGTGCATGACATTGGTTCAGGCACTTTTGGAATACCGCATGCAATTCCGGTCTCCTTCCCATAGGAAGGATGTTGTGAAACTTGAAATGGTTCAGAAAAGATTTACAAGGATGTTGCCAGGGTTGGAGGGTTGGAGTTATAGGGAGAGGCTGAACAGACTAGGGCTATTTTCCCTGGAATGTCAGAGGCTGAGGGGTGACCTTATAGAGGTTAATAATATTGTGAGGAGCATGGATAGGGTAAACAGGCAAGGTCTTTTCCCCAGGGTGGGGGAGTCCAAAACTAGGTTTAAGGTGGGAAGGGAAAGATTTAAAAGGGACCTAAGGGGAAACTTTTTCACACAGAGTGGTGCGCGTATGGAATGAGCTGCAAGAGGAAGTGGTGGAGGCTGGTACAATACAACATTTAAAAGACATCTGGATGGTTATATGAATAGGAAGGGTTTAGACGGATATGGGCCAAATGCTGGCAAATGGGACTAGATTTATTTAGGATATCTGGTTGGCATGGATGGGTTGGACCAAAGGGTCTGTTTCCATGCTGTATATCTCTATGACTCTATGTGATTCCCCTAAACTGTTTTATATATCTTTCTCGGAAGGAAACTACTCTTCCAAGCTGAAAATTTCCAATCAATGATTCTTAGAAAAAAAACAATCCTTGATTAGTCTTAGCCAAAAGCAAATTCATGGCCTTCAGCGTTTACACATCTTGTCATAAACTATTGCAGTACAAATATTTTTCCCATAACACTCCAGAGCTTTGCAGTCACCTCCTCTCAGAGTCATACTGGATTTGACTACTGTTCTGGAAAGGCTGTCTGTCCTAGTTTTCTTTCTTTTAAAATCCTTTACAAAAATAACCAATACCTTAATGACTCTATTTCAAAACCCAAACTCTGAAAATTACATATGCGGTGCAAACATGTGGTCAAAAATGATATCGTGTTGTGACTGGTTTGGTCCAGCCTCAGACAAAAACAATCAGAGAGACATGAAATCGGTGATTATGCAATAGCTTTTCTTTTAACCAAAAACAATTACTTCTGAATCTCCATTATTTAGCTAGAAGAAATTTCTGCTCACACAGTACTGAATTTTCGACAGACTATCTGACAAGGCAATGACAGGGGAATTTTGAGTGTGGTGGCAGTGAGGTAGAGCTGGATGTCATCAGCATACACGTGAAACACCAATGTTAAGAGGACAAGTGGTCTGAGAGAGGTAAGATGAGACAAGAATTAATGTTTGATTGAAGGAGTATAACTGCAGTCTGGAGATGGGGATGCTAGGAAGATGCATACCTATCTCAAGAAGGAGTGACAGTAAGTGATTGGTAGAGGGATAGCCTGGGAAATAGCTCAGAGCCTTGAAAAGACGGGTTTAGAACAATCCTCTCTACTCCTGAGTCAACTGTCAAGGCTTGGGTTGCCACACCTCATTAAATCTTCTAGCAGCCATTCCAGGCTTTGAGGGGAGTCTGCAAACTGGATCCAATTTGCTTGCCTTATGTTTCACATCCATGATGGAAAATAATAGAAACAATGAGGATAGAAATTCTTTAGAAAGGCAAACTAAAATAGACAATAGGAATCTCTGAAAACTGCAATGACATGTCTTAATTTTTGCACGTTTTTCGTTTTGTTAAAAACCCAGAAACTCACCAATTAATATTTTCAAACAGCTGTAGAACAACAAATCTGCAGCAAAATACCACCACACACAGGAGGTAGAGAATACTACAGATTGGTCACACTATCTGCCTCTGCAACCAGGTAGTCAGTGGAGCAAAAGCAAACCGATGGTGCATGGACTCCCATTTCTGGGCCAAACATGGAACAAATTATCTAGGTACGCATGAATATGGAAGTACAAAAGATAATTCCGCTGAACTACTCTGACAGTTAATGTTAGATACTGCTAGTTCTTGATAATTACCAACAGCTTGCACGTTGTTTCCTGTTTTTAATTACACAAAATGACCAGACGCAACTTACTGACCTGCTACTGGTTAGTGGAGTACATAGTTACCAATTGCACTGCAACAAACACCATCTAGATATGCTGCAACGGATATACAGTTAAACCACATCAACGTACAAACATCATGGATTTGGATTGGGTGTGTTTGACGGTCACCCACAGCAGGAAATTGTTTTGGATTTAAAGCCAGAAGGTAAGATCAATTGCATTTTTTTCTGTTTCAATTATTTGAGAAGAATACTTCCTTTTTTCAGTCAAGTTTCTCTGTCACTGATGAATAGCAGCGTGGAGCTAAGATTAATCTAATTAACTGGGAAGGTAACTGATCTGGGTGTATGCTAGATACTTTTTAATCAACGCGTTTAGATATGTTGTGACACACCTCTGGAGCAGGATAGACTTGAATCCAAGCCTCCTAGCTCAAAGGTAGGCTCACTACTACTGTTCAAGAGCCACTGGATGTATGCTTACAATTCACGATCACTTTGGGTGAATTAACTTCCCATTGACTTTAGCAGAAATAGCAAACACCTTGCTAAACGAGGTCAGCCAATAATGCGTACACCAATGAAATCCTATAGGCTAGCCTTTTATTAAAGAGGAATGAAATAAATTTCCCTGATGAGGGATGATTACAATGATTTGGAGTTCACAGGAAGGATTAGCAATGCATCCTATATATAGGATTGGGGATTTGAAGACTAGAGGGCATTTTAAGGTTAGAGGAGAGAGATTTAAAAAAGACATGAGGGGCAAATTTTTTATACAGAGGGTGGTTTGTGTATGAAATGATCTTCCTGAGGAAGTGGTGGATGCAAGTACAATTACAATGTTTAAAAGACATTTGGAAATACATGAATAGGAATGGTTTGGAGGGATATGGGCCAGGAGCAGACAGGTGGGACTAGTTTAGTTTGAGATTATGTTTGGCATGAACTGGCTGGACTGATGGGTCTGTTTCCTTATGTATGACTCTAGAGAATTGGCACTGGACAGAAAATTCCGAGTTCCTTCTCTACGACCTTCTGATTGTAATTCCCAAACATCACCAGTTGCAACTCAAAAACCAGCCGAGCAGCAAGTTATAGGAAATGCTCAAAATAAGTTCCACCACATTAGTCTGTACTGAAAAGCAAATTTGCAGCCAAAGTTTTATATTAAATTCTTTTCATCATATTAAATGTGACGGAAGTCTTTACAGGGATCTATAGTTCCTCAATTCCTTCATCCAATCTCTTAATAATGAGGTAATGCTCTTCTTTTCTAGAACATGTTGTTATTCTCCTCACATTCTTTTGAAGAGCAGTGCATCAGGTTAATGTTGTTCCTGTTCATCAAGCACCTAGGTAAGAAAATGACTGCTTAGAATCAAAAGTGGAACAATATATTTAAACTTTGAATGTTGTGTCCTTGATTTGTAAACAGATGTGCATGTAGGAAAAGCCTCTGTCTATTTCGATGATGATACTATCCCAGAACTGTACCAACATTTTGGTTATTTCTGTTCCAGGTACGGGACATAGTAATGGGAATCTAGATTCTTCAAGCTTGTTGAATAGAAGCCTAGGACAGTCATTTGCTTTACCAGTACATATTCTATGGGTAGACCCCTTGATACTTGTTTGGGACTTCAGGAACTTATCTTCTGGGAGAAAGATTCAAATTCGCACAAAAACCCAAAACAATCCAGCAGAACGTAGCAATGAATTTAGAGAAAGGGTCCGTTTAAACCTTACCGACTACAGTCTGGAAATACAGAGCCTGATAAAAAGTGACCAAGGCTGGTATGAAGTTAATGCAAGATCAGAACAGAATGTTCATGTAGAAGTGATGGAACTGCGAGTTTACAGTAATCACTTGTTCAGTTACAAGTTTTCTTCCTTGTGTTAGATCACTGCCCTTCTCCACAAATTCTGAGAGAACATAAGGTACACAAAACAGGAAAGCTGGTGAGGAAGCACTGGGAATGAAAGTAAAGTCAATTGCAATTATTTAAGTTACCAATTAATAATTAGTTTTAGGTCTAACTTTTGTAATTAAAAATCACGAATGATGCAAGTCACAAGTTGTTTGAGGCATTCATAAGGAAACATTGACAAGATCATTGTCTATCTGTTTGACAGATTAGCAGATTAATCAATCATAACTCTTTGCAATCTTAACAGTGAGACGAAGCAGTGATTCCAAATTCTTGTATGTTATACAAAAACCCCATTCACATGAGACAAACTTTCAGTCATGACAGCTGGGAACCATGACAGTTACTTTGCAGTCCTATTGCCTAATTACAGTTCATTCAAACCTGGGACATGCTGGCCTGGTATAATGTTCAAGTAGATGCCGAAGATTATATTGAATGAGGTGAAGAAAATCCAAGAATTCCCATGATATCTTGATCACTATTCCTCCTTGAACCAGTACTATCTAAATCAGATTAGTTTGTCATTTATTCCAGGTGCAGGCTCCAATGATGTGCAGATTAGCTGCAGAGTGCCTCCATACAGGGAAACCTCTCCCTTACTTGAAAGCCATCCTGCTATGTGTTCAAACTAGAGGACGTCTAATCGGTTGTCTCACTTCAAAGCCTGTCCACCATGCATATTTGGACACTGAGCCAAATATTTGGCTCTGCTCCTTAGGTTTCTTAACAATGAGATTAGGGAGTGATTTTTAAGGTCCTGACACAGAAACTGTTCCAAACTACAAATTCCCACATGATATGAATTTTCAGTCAGGACAGATGAACGGCATGACTATTGTTATAATGCCATCTGGTGTTACTACTGTACAAGTCAGGCCCCAGACTGAAATCTGGCTAGAAAGACTTTTTTAATTTAACAAGATGGTCCTTCATTGTAAAACAAACACAGAATGCTACAGATCTAGTTATAACAATAAAACAAGTTTAAAACAGAAACAAATAAAAATAAGACAAAATAGAATGAACAAGGCAATTTATTTGGAACACAATTTTAAAAAATTCAATACACAGTAAAATACAATACTTCAACCATCCCAACTGCATTTCTTTACAGTGCTCAAACATCAGAGTGCTCCTTTCTCTATCACATCTATAAGTTTGCCTTAACTGTTGCTTTCAATGCCCAATCTTGAAAGTCTGATAGCCTGTTCCTTGGGTACTCAGATAACTTAGACTAGCTAAAACTTTCTCAGCTTTGAATAAACCCTTTCGGGTTCTATTCCAAATCCTTCTGGTTTTGAAACTAAAAGCCCTTCATTGAGGTATCGTAATTCCTATCTTTTCTGAACTAACTCCTTGCTCCAAGAGGACTGTTTCATACATCAGACTTCAACTAGGATGTCTGCAAACTGAAACAAAAACTTCCCAAGCTATAGGTCGTCCCCAAGGAAAATAAAAGATCAATCCCTAACCCCTCTAAATGAAAGCGGGCTAATGCTCTTTAATGTTTATACTGGCCACTCATAAAACCTTTGTAAGTACTTTGTTCATTTCTCAGAAACATAAAGCAGCACTAGATATTTATAGATAAGAGGTCTTCTGGCACAGATTTAACATTCCTATCTCTCTGTGTCAAACCCCACCTGACGACTGGATGGACACAGAAGGTATGTTATAATGTAGTCAAAAGGGTTGCTTACCAATCTGTAAATACTTCTGAAATGTCTATAGCCAGTCAGAGAGCTGGAGTGTTTCCTGCTTAGCCGGAACTGTATGATAGTACAACTGCATCCCCATTTAAAAAGATTCCATGCAAAGTTCTTGCCATGAGTAATCACAATATTCGTTCTGAGGAAATACCACACTTTTAAATACAATTTTATAATCTGGTCACCCAAAATATGGGCTACTTCACCTGAGCTAACAAGATTTCATCCATTTTCAGAACGAATCTCACGTCCAACAATACAATGGATAACCAAAGTTTCCTCTAAGGGAATCTGTAATGTTACCCTGAAGTGCTCAGTGGAAAATGGTAGTGACTTGATCTACGGCTGGTGGCGAGGAGAAGAGGTGGTCACAAATGGCATGTCACAGAGTGGTAGAAAACTTAATGTGTTGGTAATTCCACAGAATGCCAGCACAGTTTACAGCTGCATAGTGAAGAACCCTGTGAGTGAGGAGACAGAAAGTGTGGACCTCACAGTACTCTGTAGGCTACTCCATTGATTTTATTTCATAGCAGCTAATAGAGATGTTACTCTGATTATTAATTAAATTGCACAAATGGTTGTCAAATACAAGCTTAGTTCAGAATTTTTGTTTAATGACAGAGTTATACTTGTATGACTTTACAAAATAAAGTTGTATCCAATTTAAACAGGAAGGATTGGAAATTTGTCTTGGGTAGTATCACATTGGCTGTCCATCACACATAGTATCTGATGTTCTGATTCACTGAAGCTGACAAAACTAATTATTAAGAGGGGTGTGTAACAAGACTCCAATGTAATACAGTTAGTCCCTAGTTAATGTTGCCCTGTTTTACATTGTTTCACGTTAGCATCAATCAGTTAATGTGGCCTGTATTACTATTAGCTTCAAGAGTTTCATTTTAACTTTCTTTCTTTCGTGCTGGTCTGATCCAATCACCGTCATTTTGAAGCAGCCATGATCCTGAAAATTTAAGCTGCTTCTCCTAACTCTTGCTAATCATCACACCACTGGCTCAAAGGAAGGGTTCAGGAAGGGAAGCAGTGACCAGGAGTTGAGATGGAGAGATCCAGCAAGAGGAATGAGTGGAGAGAGGAGTCAAAGAGGGTCAGGGAGTAGCCGATGCTACAAGTTGGAGGGTCAGCAGCAAGAGGATAGATTAAGGAGTTGCAGAGGCTGGGGTTCAGAGCGTTGGCAACAGAAGGGTTAGGGAGCATGAGAATTTGAAAGTCAGGTGATATAGAAAGAGAGGGTAGATTAAGAACCAGGAGAGACCGCAAACTGGAAGATCTGAGAAAAGAAGGGTGTCCAGCAACCAGAGGGTCAGAGCATTACACTGTGTGGTGAACTGGATTGATAGTGAAGCAGGATCAATAGTGATATCTTAGAATTTGCGATCAAAATGTTTATCATAGATTTTTTTAAAATTGCAATCACACCAAATATTGCATTAAGCTTGGTTACTGAACCCACAGTGAAGAACTCTAAGTAAGGAGAAAATTTGTCTCTTTATGTGTCTTTTTAGGCAGTAGAAGAGAGAAGGAAGATGGTATTCTGAATTCAATTCATATCCTGGGAATAAGAACAGTGATATTGATCGTCGCTATCATTATCACTGTCACTATCATTGGCTTCTGTTCTTGGGACCGAATAACAGTTAAAGGAAACTAAATGACTTTCTAAAGCTTTGTTCAGAGACAATCTAGTTTGAGAGGAACCTCTGTACAGTAAGTTACAGCAAAAATTACAGTAACCTTTGGTTAACATTCAAAGATGCTGACAAAGTACAACCCCAAACCCAAAGTCATTTTTTACATTTCAGCTGTCCATGACCCTGGAGCACACCCTAACCTCTGGGGAGGCAATGGCCTAGTGGTATTATCATTGGACTGTTAATCCAGAGAGCCAGGAAATGTTCTAAGGACTTGGCTTAGGATCCCGCCACAGCAAATGGTGGAATTTGAATTTAATAAATATCTGGAATTATGAGTCTAATGATGACCGTGAATCCATTGTCAATTGTTGGGAAAAACCCATCTGGTTCACTAATGCCCTTTAGTGAAGGAAACTACCATCCTTACCTGGTCTGACCTACATATGACTCCAGACCCACAGCAATGTGGTTATCCTCTGGGCAATTAGGGATGGGCAATAAATGTTGGCCTAGCCAGCGATGCCCTCATTCTGTGAATGAATAAGAAAAAATAAACCTCATTCCCATGTGTAACATCAAGAACTGTTAACAGCATTGCACAATGGAGAATATTAAACATTCATGGTACAAGAACTAGACTTTTCATTCTCCAGAGACTCTTAAGGCTACATTATGGTCTCTTCCGGGTGCATATACTTCGTTGGGAGATTGTCTCCATACCCTCAAGAGACCATGATTAATAAGCTAGATCATAGTTGTTGCATTTTTTGTGGTAATGCTCTTTAGTAGCTCCTTGTTTAATTACAAAAATGTCATGCTCTTTTCATCTTTATACCATTTAACAGAGCCCAGGCAACATTCATTAATAGTGTATAACACTAATCTGTTACAAAAATTGTACAGGTAGGGACAGAATTGCTTAGTTGTACAGACTTGTGTACCATTCAACTTAACCATTTCTAACTTAACCAGGAGTTGAACTATGCTGTTGATATAATGTATTTGTGCTTCGTTATACTTCTGTACAATAGCCATTTGGTGTACTTTAATACAACTTGAGTATTGTTGAACAAGTTCAGAGACAGGTAAAACAAAGACTAAATTCTGTACGTCAGCAACATAGTTTGACTCACAGATTGGAAAAGAGCAGGTAAGTACTGAGATACGTCTCACAAGTGCATGAAGTTGCAGAGACAAATGCGTTTTCCTTCCTTTAAAGAACAACTTATATTTACACTGTCCTTTGAGTATAATTCAGCCCAATTACTTGGCAGAAACATGAAAAAAATCGAATATGACATCAAGTTGCATGATAAGAGATGACATCAGATGATCAAAAGGCTTGGCCAAAGACATTGCTTTCTTTTCTTAAAACACTGGTTAAAACTATGTGGAGACAGAGTGTAAGTGCTAAGTAACTCAAACTAGGAATGCTCACAATCAGAATTACAGGAGCATACATCTTGTAGGGTTATGGGGTTGGATGAGATTACAGGGATAGGGAGAGGCAAGAGGGAGGGACTTGGGTAGAAAAGAACAGACTTAAAAAATCAATATAATTGCTTCACTGAAGCCACTGTAGACTAGCAAACACATTGGTGGAGAATGGGACTTGGTACAAGGTAAGACAGAGGCAAAGAGATTTGATGATTTCACATTTCTAAGGGTAACATGTGTAAAACCAGTCAGCAGTGCATCGGAATAGTTGAACCTAGACATAACAAACAATGGATGAGGGTTTCAGCAGCAGAACAGCTGAGGCAGGAATTCAACATTATGGATGTGGACTCAACAGGTCCTGATACAGCGCCAAATACAATGCCAAGTACTGACCAGAATCGTTTAGCTTCAAACAACTACCAGGAAATTCATGGAGTCAGTGGCTATGAAGTGCATTTTGTGGTTGGAGCCAAAAACAGTAGCTTCTTTCCAGCCAAAATATAACTGAAGGAAGGTTTTTGCCTATCAGTGTTGGTTGTTAGACAAGCAATCTGAAAAATTACTACAAGGACAGGTGTTAGGAGAAATATGTGAGGTAGTGCTTGATGTTATCTTGCCAAGAATACACCATTTTGAGAGGGAGTTGGGAAGAAAGATGTATCCTTGACTGAAGAGAGATCAGAGCAAATTATTTGGGGTCACTGGTAGGTCTGTACCCACCATAGCAGCGAGTGCTGGAAATGAATGGTAGATGGTAGCTAAAATCTTAGATAAAGGCAAAATACTATGGAAATCTGAAGCAAACAAAGATTAGTAGGGAAACTCAGCAGATCTGGCAGTTTTTGTGCAGCAAGAGGCAAAGTTAACATTTCAAGTCTAATATAACTCTTCTCCAAGAAGAGTTCTGTCTCTTCTGTGTCATACTGAACTTGAAATGTTAACTATATTTCTCTCTCCACATATACTGCCAGATCTTCTGAGTATCTCCAGCATTCTCTGGTGGTTGCTGAAATCTTAAATATTTTTCCCGTGTTCATAGCTTGGAAAAGTTCAAACAAGTAATGGATAGAAGGTAAACTACCACTCTGTAGAAATAAACTCACTAATGAGCACTTGGAGACACGGGCGTCCCTGTCAGATAGTTGCTTTCCTCAGGTGGAAGGTTCACCACGGAAGATGGAGGAAGGCTAGGGGAAGAGTTCCATAACAGTTCAGCTGAAGGACAAAGTCACGGCATCACAAGCTACTGAGATCAACACATGCAGCACCAAATACCCATCTATCCCCTTTGATCAGTGAATCAATTTCTACTGTCAGGGGTTGTATCTCTTGCCTGACTATTCAGCTAATGTGTCTAAACTGTTGTTTCTCAATAAATTTAAGCTTATTACTTCTGAAAGCTTGACTGTTGATCTTAGGGATTTGCAGCTCTTAAACCCATACTCTCTCACAAGGTTCATTAGCAGATACTTGAGTAGATTTCTAATTCTAATTAGGCTTTTTATGGATCCAACCCACCTGCCCATGTTCACATCCCACAAAAATAGCAATATTGTGGATAGAGAGGGGATCTTGTGATGCTTTAGGTAGTGTCCCTAATTCTGATCCAGAAACTCTGGGCTCAAATCCACTTCAGGATTTGATGGCTAAGAAATATACATTCATAATGCAACCAAAAATTCTTCCAGTATGTATCATTAGCAAGAACTAGGGGCATGGCGGGTTCCTGGTCAGTCACGTGGAAGGAAATTGGAGCCTCTACCAACAAAAGAAATTACTCCATGCCACAACAATATACATAAAACTGTATGTTGCCACAACCATAGTTGGATCAGCTGGTTGGATAGCCAGTGTGGATCAGATTAGTACTAAAAGCAAAGGTTTTGATACCTGTTCCAGGTGGGCTTGGGGATTTGCCTCCTTTGCCCTACTTATGGTGGGGGTCTTGATGCTGTGGGTCAGATCTTCAGCAGAGAATGCAAGAAGAAAATTCATGGACAGAAACTTCTTAAAATTAGAAATAAATTGGAAAACCTGCAATATTGTGCTTTCGTTTCTTTTTGTGAAACACCCAGAAACTGAACAATTAATGCTTTGAGTCACAGATTCATTTATTTTTAGTACTCTACATATTGTGCAACTATATTCAAACAAATAATTTCATCTGTCGTATTAATGGTGAGTAGTCCTTTTTACTGCATCCATTTGTTAAGCTTATGTATGTATCTTAATTTGTATACTTTGGCAGTAAAGGGGCTAAGAAATCTTTATGCTGGTTGGAGTACCAGCAAGATTTGAAAAGGGTAAATAAGTTTGAGAGCCTCTACTATATGTAGTCATTGAGGTTTACAGCACAGAAAATAGCCCTCAGTTGATCAAATTTAAGCAGGTCAGAAACAAATACCAATTCTACTCCTACTTTCCAGCACTTGGCCCGTAGCCTTATACATATTATTGCTAATGTTTTAACAGTAGCTTCTATTTATAAAGCAGGTGTACTGCA